TTAAAAGTCCAATTTGGGGATATTTAGCATTCTTTCTCAACTTTAGGATGACAGCTGATAGGCATATCATGATAGGATACTGAAGAACATAATAAATAAATAAATAAATAAATAAATAAATAAGAGACAGGAGGGGGCTCCCCCCTACCCTAGGAGATTAACAAATAACAAGGTGAAGGAGTTAACACAATGGCCGTGCAGAGCATCAGTGGGGAGTCGATGCCTGAGCTCTATGGAGCCAGCAGGGGTGAGCAGAACTCTCATCATGGTCACTGCTTCCTCGCCCTCCCTGGGTGCTCTCACTCGCCGCAGAGAGGCTGTGAATTCACATCTTCACTTAGCATTGTCCTAAGGTTGTGGCTGCACTTGAGTTCCACAGGACCACAAAATCCCCAGCCTTGTTGTTGGTTACTTTCCATGTTCCCCCCGGGGACCCAAGTGCTGTCCTTCTCAGGCCTGGCCACCCATCCTTCGTGTCCCATGGAGATCCTTCAGCAGCAGCCAGGTAGAAGAGGAAGTGGGGGGGGGGGGGGGTAGGCACCCGGGCTGCTCCACCAGCTTCAGTGGGAGAAGTGTCGTAACACTTCCCGAATGTCAGAGAGCCGTGGATGACGTATTGTGAGGAATAAGAAAGAAAAGAGGGCTGAAAATCACTGGTGCTTTGGTGTCCATCGCTTTGTGAGTCGCCTTTTCTGTGTTTCTGACATGTAACCAGCTTAAAATATGTCCACAGAGATAAACTATCGTACTAATAAACCAAAATGCGTTTGCTTCCCTACTAATGGGCACTTAGAAGGGTCCCCATTTTCACCATCTCAAATTGTGCTTGTGTGGGGTTGAGGGTTTCTTGATAGGCGATGGGCACCGCACTCTGCAGGGCAGGGAGAAGATGAGAGGGCGCGTGGAGGCACCTGAGAGGAGCACTGAAAGCTATCGAGACGCAACAGAGCCAGAGCTCCAGAGCCTGGAACTGGAGGTGTCAGTGAGTGACTAGTTCCTACATCAAGGGTGCAAACAGAGCCTCTGGGAGTCAAGCATAGCATGGAGAGGATACAAGCCTGCCGAACGCTGGAGACCCACGATGTGAGTGGGGGCATTTGTTGTTTGAACGTGTTCCTTCTGTGTCCTCTGTGCTGCTTAGCCCTGCCCTGCGCCCCAGAGGCAGATGCAGTACAGGATCGCAGTTCTCTGACAGTCACACAGCCTGGACCAGGGAAGGAGAGTAGGAGGGCTTTCCTGGATGCTCCCCGTGGGTCACCGGGTGCTAAAGTCGCTGTTCGTTTCTTACCACCCATCTTTCCATCTACAAAGAGCATCCCCTCTATGTTCTTCTGGTGTAAGTAAGATGGCAAAGCCTGGCCTTAGGGTTGGACACCCGAGCACAAGATCATTCTTTGGTTAACCTGTATACAGGTGCCACCTCTCCCTCCCTTCAATATCTACTAAAAATTACAGCACTTGGCATGCGGAGAGAAACTTAGCTGAGTGCAAAAACATAGTAATAAGTGTCTGTATGTGTACACAAATCCAAGCACCCCATATTTTTATGGTTCATCTGTGATCTCCTTTAGAACTGAAACCAGCTTGATATTTTTGTGTGTGAGCTCCTAGTGTTAGCACAATATCTGGCAAGTAGAAAGCACTTCAAAATTAAAATAACCCTGAGCCAAATAGGAATAAATTAAACTAAACTGAAATGAATGGAATTTTTACTGAGTAAATGAGATGCTAATTTGACACATGTTAAACATCCTGGGTGTTCCGCACCTCTCCTCCCTCCTTCCAGCGTGTAGTTTTAAAAAGCTTCTTGAACAGTTAAGTAATAAATTAGATCAGAAACTGAATTTATGAAACAAATGATCAGTGTTTGCTTGCACAATATCAACACCTCACATAGGAAAGTGTTGAGGTCAGAAAATTGTGTGCTGAATTCACAGCCCCTAAGCCAGTGGTTCTCAACCTGTGGGTCTCGGGCCCCTTTGAGGCCAAACAACCCTGTTACAGGGGTTGCAAATCAAATATCCTTAATATCAGATATTTGCATTACAATTCACAGCAGTAGCAAAATTACAGTTATGAAGTAGCAACAAAAATAATTTCATGGTTGGGGGTCAGCATGACATGAGGAACTGTATTAAAGGCCTCAGCATCAGGAAGGACCTAGTTTCCTTGACACTGTAAGTGGGTGTTTTATTGTTGTTGTTTGGTGACTGGAAAGTGTCACTCTTCTGCCTACAACCAGAAAGGAGCTTGTGATCCTTTCAGAACATGTAATTATTATTTGAAAATAATTGTGACGGGCAGACCTTTCCTTGCATATGACAGCGAATAGAAAGGAAAGAGAAAATCTTCTCTGAATTTGAGTTTTACCCGGTCGCAAACAGCACATGTGGTGTGTTGAGTCTCTGTAGAGTGCCCAGGAAGCCTCCCCAGCTGTGGACCCTGGGGGTAGATAGCCAGGGGACACACAGTCTGCCCACATGGGTTTTGGCAGGGGCAATTTTACTTTCTCTTCTTCCTGCAAACACTGAACTCTTGCTAGCTTGATTCCACCCTTCAGCTCTGTAGTCTTGACGTCCATGAAACTGTATTTTGAAATACCTATCATTTTAGTAATATTTCAAACCAGAGTTTAAGAGAACTGACTTTTCTTATGCCAATTTGAAACTGGTGACTACTCTGGGCCTCCCCGGGTCCCTTGTTCAATTCTTTCTGAAGAATTCCAATAGTGAGAAAATCCATTTTAAGTTCAAGCCTTCGTGCTTAAGAACTCTGGGTGTTTCAACACAGCAGCAAAAACCATTGCCAGCAGGAGGGGCTGGGGTGATCAAGCCCAAGCTTTGGCAGCCTGGATTTTAACACATGACTCGGATTTAGCAAATGAGGCTGTCTAATGTTGCAGGATTACCTCTGCCTTGATTATCTTGGAGCCACACTCAGAGGCGTGAGCACTGCTTGGTGCAGGCCAGAATGCCCTACGGGGACAGCTTCACTTCTTAAGCCTTCGCTGCTGCCCATGTGCTGGTGTCAGGCGGCTTTGTCTGGCACCATGGCTGATGGATGAATAACAGCATTCAGGACATGGTACAACGAGCAGAATTTGAGGTCCACGGCATATCAAAGCCAGCCCTTCCCTCCAGCCTTTAGTGTGACATACCTGGACCATTTGTCCTGTCGGTGTTCCATTGTGATATAACTGAAGACTGTCTACTGAAAGGAGAAGACAGGCTTATTTGGGTCACTATTTTGAAGGCTGGAGTTCATGTAGCTCACCTCACGGTGACCAGAAAAAGCAAAAGAGGAAGAGCCTGGAGTCCCATAATCCCCTCTCCTCTTGGAGCGCCCTTCTCCTGACCTAAAACCTCCCACTAGGCCACACCTCTTCAAGGGCTCCACCACCTCTCAGTGGTCCTCCTTTTTCATACACAAACTGAAGATCATAGAAAGTATCCCCAAAACTAAAATAATTGTGTTGCAAATGAGAAACAGCTAAAGTACAGCTTGAATCTCTGTGGTGGTTGTTGAGTTGTGCCTGCCCAGACTAGTGATTTCCTGTCCGTGTCACACTGTGAGGTGTGATCTTCCTTGCTAACTCGGCTGGATGTAGACTCCCAACAGGTGCACTCTGGGAATGTCCACGAGGGGTTTCCAGAGAGTACATGCCAGCACCTTCTCTCTTTCCATAACGGAAGCACAGTGTGACCAGTGGCTCGCACTCCTGTCACCGTTCCCACCATGACAGCGTGTCCCCTGTTAAACTGTGAGCTAGAGTAAGCTGTTTGTGTCAGGTGTTTTGTCACAAGAATAAGAAAAGTAATGAATATTTGCTCCTCAGCAGTATCCCCAGCTGCCCAGCATCCTGAGTGTATTATATCAGATCACCACATGTAGCCCAGCTTCCCCCAGCTCGGCCGGCAGGCACTCTTCAAGCGATTGTTGGAGGGATGTAAACATATCACTCACAGCATTTTAAATATTAATGGTTACTTATTCGTGTGTATGTGTCTGTGTGCACAAAACACACAAGGTAAGGACAAACCTTCCCCTCCCTCCTACACAAATGTGAGTGTGTGTATGTGTTTGTGTGTCTGTGTGTCCATGTGTCAGATCACCTGGAGCTGGAGTTACCGGCACTTGTGAGCTGCCTCATGTCAGTTTTAGGAATCAAACTCTGGTCCTCTGCAAGAAAAGTATGCACTCTTGACCACTGAGTCATCTCTCTGACCCCAATTTTTTCAAATCAAAATGTTGATAGGTGGGAATCAAACTCAGGTCCTCTTCAATAGAGTTTGCACTTTCAACCACGGAAGCCATCTCTCTGGTGCCACTTTTTTCCATTTGAAATGCTGACAGGGAGATGATTAGTAACATTTTCTTTGAAGGGTTATATTTGGTAATTTATTTTAAAAGATTTGCATTATTGTGTTCATAGGATACAATTTTTTTTTATTGAGAAGTTTTAAAATTAACTTCATTACAAGGAACCTGAGCAGTGCTCCACTCTGAGGCAGCTCCCCGTGGGCCTCGTTGCACAGGGTTCAGGCAGGTGGGCTTGGTGATCAGACAGCAGGCTGTGTCTCTGCAGGTGGGATGCACGGCCTGGGTGAGCCATAGGCCAGGAGCTGGGCTTGCCCTCTTCCCGTGCACCTCATTAGTCCTTTTCTCTTCTTGAGACCTCACCTCCCCTGCACCCACCAGCCACCCCGGCCCCCAGCCCCCATCTTGGTGGACTTTGCTGAGTCAAATGACCATAAGCTTTTAAAGGATCTATTTCAGGGATTGCCTCCAGCAACGTTTTCTAGCCAAGTGGATTCTGCATTCAGGGTTCTGGCCTCTGCCCAATGCTTTTCAAATTCCCCAAGGTCGGTTACAAGTCTTCATCAGTCATCCTTCCAGCAAGCTGGAAGTTTCCTTGGCTTCCTGCTTATCACTGCAAGGACAGTTTCCTAACGCTGCTGCCAAGCATGTAAACAATTTGTTTCTTCTCTCTGTGGTGACAGGCACATCTCATCGTCCTGAGTAAAAATCCCTCTCCAGAGGAGGCTGCAGACTCTGCACACTTCATTGCCCGGGCTGCTGTTGCTTCTGGGAGGCACGACCACCATGGTGAGAACAGACCCCCCTCCCTCTTCTGCACAAGTGGCTTGGGCATGCGCCCCTGGTGGGTGAGGCCGTGGCGTGATTCCTCTGCCCTGTGGCTCAGCTGCTCCGCAGCTTCCCTGGGCTTTCCTGTCTGCCCTGTCACCCTTTCCCCTTCCGAATGTCATTTTCATCCAAATCACCATGGGGAATTCATGCACTGCAGGAAGATAGGGACATGTCTGCTTTTCCAGGGCAACTTTTATTTTTAAAGCTGTTGTACTATCAAAGCAACAGCTCTGAACTCCAAGCTCACTCATCAGAGCTTTCAGCCAGGGTAAACGTATACAGCATCAGGATTTGGAAAGGAAGCTGCCCCTCAATATGCATTTTCTTTCCTTGGGAGGATAGTTAGAAAATGGAGTTTGGGGATTCTCCACTCCTGCATCCTGGCATCCTATGTGTGACAGGAGACACAGTCTAGTGATTTTGGTGGAGCCAGATTATTCAGAAATGGTATGTGGCCTACACGGAAGAATATATACATATTCCAAAATATCAGATAGAAATCATCATGAATAATATTGATTCTTGGGTGCCAGAAATCAGTGTCGGGAGGGTGTGGAGTCAGTTTGGGAAGCAGGAGTCAGGGTAGTAGGCCAAACTAGGAGGTGAAGAGAAACCCAAGGAACAACCTGGTCTGAGAAGGCCGTAGACTTGGTCTGTACAGGGTTCCATAGGTTACTCTCTTCCCCCCTACCTAGCTCACGCAGCAAACCTACAAGAGTCTGACCAGAGATGGAAGATGGAGCCTCCAAAACCATCAAAGAGCCCTAGGCTTAACCAGCTTTTTGTTGTCTTACACCCATTTAATGGGAGAAAGAAACTCCCTCCACTCCTAACCAAATATTGAAAATACAAATATTTGAGAGTACAGGAGTCTCACACAACCCAGATATCTACAGGAACCCTGATGTCTACAGCAATCCAACCTCTAGACAGTATGAGCGTATCAGGTCGTTAAGGGAAACTTAAGCCAGTGACAGATAGCCGTTGACTATAGAACAAGAGACAGTACAGAGTGGTGAGAACCATGGCAAACTGAAGAAGCCTCTGCTCAGCTATGTTGCCTTAGCAACACGGCTCCACATGGCCGGCAGCTTCTCCAATCCAGAGAAGGAAGAATTTGGAGCTTCCTATGAAGTCTCCAATTGTTGGTTGATGGTAGCTAGCCCAGATATGTTCAAGGTTAAAACGAGTGTGGAGCCGGGCGGTGGTGGCGCACGCCTTTAATCCCAGCACTCGGGAGGCAGAGGCAGGCGGATCTCTGTGCGTTCGAGGCCAGGCTGGACCGATAGCCTCCGAAACAATACAGAGAAACCCTGTCTCGTAAAAACCAAAAAAAAAAAAAAAAAAAACCAAAAAAAAACCAAAAAAAAAAAAAACGAGTGTGGAGACAGCTTTGGTCCCAGGTAGCCCTGAGATTCTGAAAGGAAGTTGCTGTGGGCTCATAGTTTTCCCCATCCTTCACAACAGGAAGAACAGAGGGCTTCAGAAATTTGAGGTCCATGACTTCTTCTATTCTGTTAGCCTTTTAATCTCTTTTTCAAAATATATAAGGTTTTCTAACTTAACCACTTTCACATTTATGGTTCCAAGGTACTTCACAATTTTTTTCTGATATGTAATTTTTTGAAATAAAGTTTTACTCTATTGCCCAGGCTGGCCTCAAACCCAGTCAAAGCAGTCCTCCTGCCTCAACCTCCCAAGTCCCAGGGTTACACACGTGAGCCACCATGGGTCCAGATCTATAGCTCTAGCAGAGTGCAGACGTTTGTCATATGGTGGGAAGAAATGGCTGTGGGAGTGTTTTGTGAAACTGGAGGTCAAGCCCTGCTTTTGCAGACTGTTAAAGGTACCAACAGCGGTTGGCCAAGCACCATGCAGTTGTCACTGCTGTCATAGCTGTCACTGTAATTTCCCGAGGAATCTGCTCCTGTCTGTCTGTCAGTGTCCGTCTGCCAGTGTCCGTCTGCCTGTCTGTCTGTCTCTCTCTCTCTGTGTCTGTGTGTCTGTCTGTCTCTCTCTCTGTGTCTGTGTGTCTGTCTGTCTGTCTCTCTCTCTGTGTCTGTGTGTCTGTCTGCCTGTCTCTCTCTGTGTGTGTCTGTGTGTCTGTCTGTCTCTCTCTCTTGTGTCTGTGTGTCTGTCTGTCTGTCTCTCTCTCTGTGTCTGTGTGTCTGTCTGCCTGTCTGTCTCTCTCTCTGTGTGTGTCTGTGTGTCTGTCTGCCTGTCTCTCTCTGTGTGTGTCTGTGTGTCTGTCTGTCTCTCTCTCTTGTGTCTGTGTGTCTGTCTGTCTGTCTCTCTCTCTGTGTCTGTGTGTCTGCCTGTCTGTCTCTCTCTCTGTGTGTGTCTGTGTGTCTGTCTGTCTGTCTGTCTCTCTCTGTGTGTCTGTGTGTCTGTCTGTCTGTCTCTCTCTCTCTCTGTCTGTCTGTCTGTCTGTCTCTCTCTCTCTCTCTCTGTGTGTGTGTGTGTGTATGTGTCTCTGTGTGTTTCTATGTCGCTGTCTTTCTCTCCTCATTGCTCTACACCAGAATGACAAATTCCAAGAAAACACAAGAGCTACACCTCAATAGCCCCTCTGAGATTCAGCACCTACCAACCAGAGGACACCTGATACACATATCAGCTTGGTAACAACAGTGCAATTTGATAGGAAGCTGAGTCGCCAAAACCTTAAAGTGAGGGCACATCTTGGTGGCTCCTGGATTAAGAAAGACAACTGGAAGTTTGTGAGCATTTAAAAAGGGCAGAGGAAGAAGACAAGTCTGTTCCAAGAGACGACTCTAATGGGTAGAAAAGGCAAAGGCTAAAAACAGTCTTGCCTGAAGGTTTTTCTGGTTCCCAGCCCCACCCAGTACACAGTGGACTCCCTTGTGGTCTATAGGAACTGAATTATGCCAACAGAAGTTATGCACAGAGATGGTCTTGTTCGGTAATGCTAATTAGACCCATTTGCTTTGCCCTTCATAGAATCAGTGACAATCTAAATTGAGGTAGAGGGGTGTGTGTGTGTGTGTGTGTGTGTAGTTTTTTGTATAAATACAGCTGGGTTTGCCTCCTCTACAAAGTGGGAGTGATAATAACCCCGTGTGACACAGACAACGTGAGTACTAAATAACTCATACCTGCATAGGACACACGGTCCTTGCTTTGCTCAGCTCCAGCTGGATGAAGACTCTGAGTCCATAGGAAAGGTGACTTTTCCAGGCCATTGAGTGATCTAGGTCTGAGCCCAGAGGGTCATCCCCAGATGCTCTTTATCAATTGTTAGACGCAAGGACTGACCCCATACTATCCTCCTTTCTTTCCATACACCTGTGCAAGAGTCTGTGGGGTTTGGAGCAGACATGGGACCTTGGATGAGTGAGGGCAGCCTAAAGACAAGGGTGTGGGGAGAGCCACTGGGAAGGGCCGAGACCCAGAAGCCTGCCCAAGGTCTCAACTCCCCCGCAGCCCCATAACCCTGTGGCTGCAGTGTGTTTCTTGGCTGGCATCCAGAGAGCTTCTGTCCCAGTCAGCACTGAGGTGGTGAGGAGTGAGTGCGGTGGCAGGAGAGCAGGGGCCAGGGCTGGAGACTAGGCAGGGCAGAAATGATTCCAGGGGCACAGGGAGCAAATGTCCCAGCTGTGACAGCAGGGGCAACGGTACGCAATGCTGGTGTGTTTGCCAACTGCTCTTAATGCCCGTAACAGTCCATAGAAGCAGGATAATCACCTCCAGGTTTGCAAAGATGCTCCCACAGCCAGCCCTTCCTACCAGAATGTTCTCTCAGGCGAAAGAAGCTCCTCTCTGTGTCTGCCTCTGTCTCTCTCCCCTTCCCCTTCACCCTCCCCCCACCAACTCCTCATTGGCCTACACCAAAAGGTCAAAGTTCAGATGAGCCTGAGGGTTGCTCTTTGATTGGTCCATTTCAGATTCAGCACCTGCCCATCAGAGGACAGCTGTCGCCCTGGTAATAATAGTGGTAACTTGATGGAAAATTTGGCTACTGAAGCTAAGATAAGGACATACTAAGTGAGGATGCTGGCAGAGAAGCCCATGGGGTAGAGACACGTGCCATGCCAGTTGTCCAGTAACAATGTGAACCCCAGAACAGCTGTGCAAAGCAAACAAACCCTCTTCCCCATGGCCCAGACAAACCAGAAAAGAGTACCTGTGTGGAGATAGCCTCCCGCCCTCCACCGGCCATTATTCCAACCATTGAAACCTGCTGTTGTCAGAGCCTTTGCTCCCCCATGGCAGATGAAGGCAAGGCTGGAAAGCAGGCTGGCCAGGCCAGTGCATGGAGACCCAGGCTTCGTCCTTGCTCGTACCTGCAAGTGTGCTGTGTGGCATGGACAGAGCAGGAACAGCCTGACTGGGGTCTAGGGACTCAGCTTCCCTCTGGGAGCGGAAACAGGACAGACACCACAGGCAGTGAATACAGCTGGAAACCAAGCAAGCACAGTCTCCTGTCTTTCCCACAATCACTCTGCTGTCCTTTACATGGTGGAAGCCACCATGGCAGACTGTGAGAGCCACCCAGGGCTGAGGACTTTTCAGGCCTCTGCTGCCCCCTGCAGGGGAAAGGGAGGAGGACTATTGGAAAATCAGGGAGCTAGCATCCATCCCCACCTCCACCCCAACCCCCAATCTCTGCCCCTGCTCTCGCCCACCCAGGACTTTCTGACCTGGATTATAGTTACTTCAAGTCCCCAAGTCCTAGCCAGATCCCTGCTTGTCTTTCAGAGTGTCAAGGGGCAATCTGGTCTTTGTTCCTTTGTGTTTAAACCCATTTGTACCTAACACAAACTTTTGGCTTTGCTTTTGTTTTAGGAGAAAAAGCAAAACAAAACAATAGAATCTTTTTTTATTTATTTAAATTAGAAGCAAGCTTGCTTCACATGTCAATCCCAGATCCCTCTCCCTCCCTTCCTCCCCTGCCCCCTCCCCCGCCAGCCCCCCAACCCCTCATCCGATCCCCACTC